CACGTCTTGTTTATAACTTTACCCAGATATTCAGTACATGATTTCCTTATATCATTCCTTAGAGAAACATCTATTACTTCATGTCTCTTCTTCAACTGTGATGAAATTGTCCAGCATTCATGTGATATGTTCTGATCTGGCATCTAGTCTATAGTCGCTTTCTCACAGACGTGCCGTGGATTTCCTCTGTCTCTTCTGTATGTATTTTTACGGCAACTGTTCCGACGCGTTGATTTCTCGGATTCTCAGACTTCATGAATTTAAGCGAGCTACAAAGTTGGCATTTCAGTCCCACCCTTTCACTGTCGAAACGGTTAAATGTAACCGTCTCTTCTACACAAACAGCTTCTTCTCTCGCAGTCCCCGTCTGTGGAATTTTATTCATCTTACTTGCTTCCCTGATAACTATAATCTTCAAATATTCAAGCCTAATGTCAATAGACATCTTCTGATACACTTGATATTATTCCCCCTCACATCCTTCTCTTTATCCTCTGCCCAAACACATCTCTTTACTCATGTTCTATACCCTCTGTCATCCCATTGCGTGCTAGTGACACTCCCGCCTTCTTTGCGGTGAAATTATTTAAAAAAATCAGTGCCGTAGATGATGGCTGATTTTTCTATAAAATTTCTTTCTATGCTTTCCAGTTTCAGTGGTTCAATTCATTATCAAATTTTTTTTTTGAATATCTGTTGTCACGTGTGTCTTCTTCAACTGTGATAAAATTTTCCAGCATTCGCATCCGTAATTATCCATTACACCACCCGCACATCCAATAAGATCTCTGTCGTCGATGATACTCTGCGAGTTTTTTTTTTTATTCGGCGCGCCATCGATTTGAATGATAGTCGAAAATCACCCCTTTTCAGAATGTCGTGTCTAATACTATAATTAATTTATATTAATACATTAATATTTTATTTTATTAATATTTAAAGTATTACCATGGACCCCCTCTGTTTTTTTTTTAACTTTTTGAAAGCCTCTTTTGTTAGTGCAGTACGTCTTCAGAGTTCTGTGTCACATTCTCTGTTCTTTGATAAAATACTTCCTAAATATATAAATTTTCTTACATCTCTCGGCTCTTCCTTTTACTGGAAACCATAAACTCTTCCTTCTTATGATTGATATTTAGTGCTTTCTTCTTATTTTTCTTTATTAAATTCAGTGGAACTTCCTTTCTGTGTTCGTTATCATCACTGTATTATCTATATGTCTCATACGTTGTTAAGATTATTGCCGCTAATAATTAATCCTGGTAGGACTTCTAAATCTCTTTCGTTCGCCACAATGTTAAGGTTGAAAAAGTTTGATGAGAAGAAACATCCTTCTCTTACGTTCATTTATATTATTGTGGATTTACCGAATATAGTTTCTATCCATATGCAGGCGGTATACCTCCACTTTGCATTCTGAATTATTCTAATATCTTGCCCAAATACATCAAGTTCAACTAGCATTTAAAAAAAATTTTTTTTCCGTGCCGTAACAAACTCTTTTGCTCAGCGAAAAAATTACGGTTTAATCATTTATAATGTTTTTTTTTCCTCCACGTAACAATGTCTTTTCGTTTCTAATAACTCAGAATAAAAAAATCAACAGAAATCTGGGTTTTTTTTTCAGTACTCTTGGTCATCCGTCTAATCATCTATTTATAATAAACTAGAATTTGGATAAAGTACACTAAAAAAATATAGGATTGAAGTAATAATTCAAATCTTATCTCATGAGATTTCCTGTTCTGTAGATAATTCACATATGTAATTTCATATCAATTAGGGCAATAATGGCATTAAGAAACAAATGGGCCACTTAGAGTGAAAGAGAACAAAAAGAACATTAGAAAAAAACCCAGAAATCCGATCCTGAAGAGGAAACAAGTTATAAACCTCTACTACTGATCAAAAGACCTGGGAGACGTATGAACTGTAAAAAACAAGGAAAAACATTCTTCAATTAGTAAAATCTGAGTTACCACATATAAGATAATCATAAAAGATAATTCCAAATAAAGAAGGAAAATTGGTCAGGAGGATAATGATCTCTGCTCGTAGCGGTGTTTGAACCAGTTTTGTATAATCAACTGTTTCTTGTTGTTTGTGTTATAAACCCAGGAGTTTATTGGAACTACAAAACAATACAGTTAATAGGAAATAAACCGAAAGTGAAGAGAAGTGTCCCTTATTTTAAAGGTGCGCTGCACAGTAAATAGAAGAAACATGCATACCGACTAAAATTATGCTCTCGGCACAGATGTCCTGTTGCATTTAAAAGACGAACGAAGGGACATTTGTTTTGCACTGCAATCTGCATTAAAAAAAAAATAGAGGACAATTGCTAATACAACACTTTGCCAGACACAAAGTTACACGCATGGATTTTAAAAATAATTTTAGATATTTATAAAATATAACATTTGATTGTATTCTTCCTTACTCACTAAAACTATTTTTTTAGTGAACATTGTTGTTCGAATACTGTATTAAATCGCCATAT